TTCAAAATGACGTTAATGGCAACAAAGTACATGTATTGCAAATTGCTACTCATTCATTATCTTTGAAGAACCATGTATTTTTACTTCCCCCCAAACAGTACTATAATGAATGTGATACTGTTGGGAAATCAGAAGTTGTCAGTCAGAGGTTGGTTATACGAGTATCAGCAATTAATCTTAATATCTATATGTTGAGTGCTTGAGGCAAAACCACCCATTGACATACACGTACCATTCGATGACATGTCTGCTTTGGTTGGAACCAACTGCTCTGTGTATGATATATGTTGGGGAGACCAGTAGAACAAGCTGCTTGACTTCCCATCATGACATGTAGATGTTTCTGCTAAAATTGAGAACCACAGAATAGATGAGACATAAGCTTGCCCAATGAACTGGAGAGGTGTGGACAAATTAATAGAATTATCTTTGAACTGCCTTGTGATCAAGAGAGGAAAAGATTTCAGTACCAAGGACATAAACATAATTGTTCCATTTGACAAAAGTTGCAATTTTACATGGACATATTCAGAATCTGTTTTAGATGTTATACAAATGTTTTCAGTGCAAGATTATTTTCATAAAAGACAAATATGTTTAATGACAAACTTACAAGGTTACTTCACTACTTGTGTGAACTACACTTAACACATGGGGATAACCAACTTTAAACCAGAGTACAGAAAATTCCATCTTACCATAGAGTGTCCCAGTGTCAGATTCTGTGCCTGGTACTCCCTCTACAGTGTGGTCCCTGATATAATGCAGTGGTTCATCTGGAACTGTCTGGTCCATCACATCACAACTTGACTCTTTTGGTTCAACTTGATATCCCATTGGGGTTCTATGACTGACAGGGGTGATGGCATTACAAACAGCACCATTCTCTGCAGTATTCTTACAAGGAAACATTGCAGTCATGTCTGGTAGGTTTTCTTTTTCTGAGGTGGTTTCTGTAAGGCTTGTACTGGCTGTGGAGACATCACCATCAGAATGGCAAGTGTCTGTAGATGGCAGATGATGTGCCATCTGAAAGTTATTGCTGTTTGCTTTCATATCTTTATGAAATTCTTCATTGGAAGGTATCCTTTCAGTAAAAATACTGGTATGTGCAGTGTCTTCTTTGTGGCTTGCTTTTCCCACATTTGTATTGTAGTCAAGTAAAGCAAGTGAAGACGTGCATGTACTGCCTTGAGTAGTACCATCGGTGGATTGCACCTGCTGACATTTGTGACTTACCGGTAATCCTACCAAGCTTCCATCACAATGATCAGTCAAAGACATACCCTCTTTTGTAGTTACTACGTCATCCTCAGGAGCAGAGGTTTCGGCATGGATGCCTTTGTTATGTGTGAGACTTAGCTTCGGATGGCTGTCACAGTTTATGTTGTACGACTTTGCAATTGTTTCCTCATTGGCCACTCCAGATTGGCTGTTACTGCACTGACTTGCAACCCTTTTCACAATGCCCTTGAAATTGTTTGCTTCTTCATCCTCATCATTGAAAACCGCTGCTGCACTATCTGCACACAGTTCTTGATTGTTACTGACACCAACTTGAACACTGCTGGCCTGGTCAAGTTTCTTGTTGTCTCTGCTAACTAAGGGGACGTAGCTTGATGATGACCTGAAGAATGCTTCATCAATTTCATCTATGCTACTTTCTGAACTACAGCCAGATGGAGTATTAGAAGATGTAGTAGTTCTCTCCTCTAATTCAGGTCTTGCCAAACACCCTTGCTCAACTGTGCTGTTAGTAACTGCCTGCAGTTGATCATCCACATTCACTTTGTAAGATTGTTCATCAAGCACTGGGGAAGTGTCCATTGAATTCTCCTCTATTGCCTTCTCTTTAGATTCTTCCCTAGACGGACTGTCCCATTGCTCTATTTTGATGCCTGTCCAGCTTGGTCTCAACTCATCAGATGCTCCCATCAGAGATCGCCTGTGTAGGGGTGTGTGTTCAGGACTACTTGAGAAATGTTCCAGAGGAGAAACTGGGCAGTGACCAGCAGTGAGCATAGGAATGTCATGTTCATCGTCTGTTTCATCCAATGGGAGTGATTCCATACAACAGAGCAAGTGTTCTACCTTGGAGTAAATGCTACTGTCTGGCTGAGAACAATCTGGAGTAGGCAACATCTCCAGTGGTGTAGACATTTCTCCATCATAGACACTATCAGTATCATCATCAGTAGTACATACACATTCCCATCTTCCCTTTCTCTTGGTACAAACACAGCTCTCGTGTTCTTCCACCTCAGGTAACTCATCTATCTGCTCCATGACTTGAACATGCAGACGTGGACTTTTCACACATACTTCTGACGGATACACAGTGGCCCTAACATGGAAATCCCTCTTTTCATTGGAAGTGACACTTGAACTTGTCTCTCGACAGTTAGTTTCCATGTCTTCACTGTCTTTGACAGAGACCTCTTTAACAACCATAGAAAGGAGGAGGTCTATGATATTTGAGACTTTCTCAGAAGAGTTACTGGTGACATCTGCTACTTTCTCATTTTGTTTGGGGTTTAAGTAGTGCCTTTCCATTTCTGCATCTAACAAACATACATCAGGAATACTTGTCTGGTCAGAAAAGGCGACTCCAGGATTTGTTTTCCTTTCTTCTTGAAAGTCAACAGTGTTTCTGCTGTTGTGCCCCAACATTTTAAAGAAATAGCTTTCGGTTGTTGTCAGTGACCTCTCTACTGGATTGTCATGATATTGTGGAAACTTGTTTAAAGCACTGTTGTCTTTTGCATTTGTCATGTCAGTCATAGCCTTATGCTGCTCTTTTTCTGAAGGAAATTGGCATGCAAAAGGAGATGGAATTTCAGTGCCATTACTTTCCATCATGGTATCATCTAGTTCTGTCACATTCAGTTTGTTCTCTTGTTTGGCTGGAAGGCTATAGCTAGAGATATCATTCTGACATAAAGAAAGTGAGGGGCTAAGTATGAGAGCTGGTGTTACACAAGTGGTAACCGATATCTCATCCTTGTTGACTAGTCCTTCTGACAGGTCTGACTCCCTAAAATTGCTGCTATTTGTAACAAAAAGTCTCTTCTCAACTTCTTCACTTTTCCCAGGCACATATTCTTCATTGATCACAAGACGCTGTGAGCGGATTATGCCTGGGTCTGTCTCTGCATCCTCACCACAGGAAACAAACATGTCATCTTCATCAGCAGTGGGACCATCATTTTCATCATCAATATGACCTGCCCTTCCAGGATGGGTTGGGACTACGGAATTGTCTCCAGATCTTTCATCAGTGTCACATATGCTTGTTGCTCCATTCTCTGTCCCACATTCTTCTTTCTGTAGACTCTGAGCTTTCATTCTGGTGACACCAATACCAATACTGGTGCAAGGTGGAACATTGATGCCACATGATTGTTCAAGTACGTCACATGACAAATGGAGGCAACTCTCATCCTGTGTTGTATTTGATGCTGAGACATTTGCCACTTTTCCACTAGATGAGTTTGTTATCTCATCCTCTCGCATGCATGGCTTATTGATCTTGTCTGACATTTCCCTACTAACCTCAGCATCCAGATGACCTTTTCCACAGACAGTTGCAGGTACATGTCTGTCTGTGTCTACCATTCCTGTCTCTTCTTGAAGGCTGTTTTGACAACAACTTGTTGCTATATCTTCATATTCACACCTACTGTTCTCATCATCTTTAGAATCTGACTTGGACTCTTGTCCCATGGATTTTGAACCATCGTTAATAACATTCTGGCTCTTGTTCACTGAGATTGTCTGATGTAACCCTACCATTCCATGAGGTCTATTAGTCTTCATTTCACAGACATGAATGTCATCTTCAGTAGTTTGACTGTCATGCTTATATTTCTTTGGCTCTAGTTCCATCAAACTATCTGTACCGTTATCAAATGATCTCTTCCTGCACGGATCCCTTTTTCCTTCCCCACCAGGGACAAGTACAGTATGTAACTCGTCTACACCCAAATTTCCAGCTTTCAGATCCCTTCCCTGGTTGTCTGTTGTGTCCAGAGATTTCGCAGAGCTATACAGTTTGATGGAGTCAGTATGGCTGTCTATTATTCTGCTGAAATTGGCTGAAAATCAATACAAACACTTTGGTCAACAATCAACAAACATGTCATGTTGCTAGAATTTAGCGTCATAGAAAAAACACAACTTGCAAGGTACATTTGTACAAAATTACTCACATGATTTTATCTAAAAGAGTATATAGAGTTGGATCACCTGTTAACTGTTCCCCTATGTTGCGTACTATGTTAGTCAGCCTGAATGTCATACATTCAAAGTATTGTTTTGATTTGTGAATCCAGCTTTAGACCTTTTAGAAGAAGCTATGAATTTCCTACATCATAAGTTATAACAGTGTGCAGCAATTACTAGTACATGCAACGGTTATATCTTACAAACCTGTTCCAAGGTGAATGTTGCCAAAAGGAGAATCTTCTTTCACACCAATAGCTGGCCAAGTCCAGGTGTTAACTGCCCCTCTGTGTACTTCACCTGTCATAGAGAATAGAAATTTACTATACACTCTTGTACTTGTACGTAGCACATACATTTAGATCAATGAATTATCTTTAAAAATCATGTTTTCGACAAAATAATTTGACTGCAGCCTCTACAAGAGCCTTACCTTCATCTCCATGGAAAGTCAGTTTTGCTTCATCCCCAATGCCAGGTAACTGGTTCACAGACACATCACCTGGTACCTCTCTGTCAGTAGTCATACTCATAGTGGTCTGGAGCTGCACTGGAAGTTCTTTATCTGCTACTGAAACAAAAAATAACATATACACCAATCGTCACGGTACACACGGCGTGACATTCCCTACGACTGTAACCCTTTCATGACACACACGAGTTGGAATTAAAACT